ACACATTCTTTGGAATAAACTCCCTTATGAATTAAGGGAAATCTCAAGGCCATCCGTGTTTAAAGCTTATTTAATTCAGAACCTCTGGACAGTTCTAAACGTCCTTGTAACATCTTTTGACAATTGAACGATTTATGTCGTCCCCGTTTCTCTCAGATTAAACAACGTTTAATCCGTTTAATCCGTTTAATATACATTACTTCTATACCAATACCCAGTATTCCTAATACCAACCTATGCCTTATATCTATCTAAACTTTCACGGTGATCCGACACACAAACTTTGATAACAATAACGAAACAATACCTAACTACCAAAACGAATTATGATTAATCTCGAGCAGTTTTACAATACTAAACACCTCTTTGCACAATTTCACTGTCATTTTACTGATCAAAGATCTGTGCGCATTCCTGGCATTAATCTCAAGAATTATACATATTTTTTCTGTACTCTACAACCCCGTACAAAAACCACAAATCAGTAATTATAATCTCTTGTTATAGATAACGATATTATGTATTTTGATAATTGAAAGTTTTTGTTATCTTTAAATTAACTATATCTAAATATCAAATTAATAAAATATGTAATTAATAAAAATATGTTTTATAAATTGTGTTTATAATTATGGCACATTCTTATTATATTTATATTTTAGGCTGTAACCTTTTTAGTCCAATGGAATAAACCTAGCATGGCAGCATACCTTCGTTGCAGCATCGCTTTACTTGTAGGTGCATAAAGGGCCCGATGTAATCGCTATGACCAGTTTACTGGTCAACTGGTGTTTTGGTGTCCCTAATTTTGTTTACACTCGGTCACTTGTCAAGGCATGAAAGGTCATTTGGCGAATTTTCTTTGAAATAAAATGATGTATTTGTAAATATTTTAAAAGTTTATTGATAAAAAATGAGCTGGGACTGGCGGTTAGGTATGGGGGTGGTGTGGGGGTCAACCGCGACCGAACGTTCGAGGTAGGGGGAGTCCGGTGAGCCATGCCTATATTTGAACCAATTTTGGCTCAATTATGGCTATGCTAAATCACCTAAACATGCCCAAATCCGAGCTTTGGGTAATCTGCTTGTACTTATTGGTCTCGATCTTCGATTACACGTATATAGAATGTTCTCCAAATTGGATAAGAAATTTCGTGACAAAAGTTGGGAGCTTTAAAAAATTGTATTTTTGTAGTTTGTTTTCGCATAAATTAGATTGAAATGCGAAATTTTAACAATTACCTTAAGAACGACAAATTTAGTCCACCATTAATTTAGTCAACATTTTGACAAAAATTGTTGTAAACCTAATTTATAGGGATTTAATTATTCGGCAATTAATTTAAAAGCAGACCAAACATATGGTAACCAAATGTTTTGTAACCAAATTTATTGTGAATCGAATTTATTGGCCTTAAGGTAAGCCAGTTCCAATAACTGTAGCTGAAACTCAGTTATCGTGGCTAAGTATATACAAATGCATATCATAAAATGAAAATTGGACGTACAATTTGCCTCAAAAACATGGAAAATTGTGGTTTTGTCTTTACGATTAAATTGATGTAACTAACCGGTGGGAACAATTACAACGCTCTTTTCGAATGATGGGGATCCAAGGTAATATGTTGGTATCACCGAGCATGTGTACCTTTCCACTTCACTTATAGACGACACTATAGTCGGCTTTAAAGTAAGTTTAGTCGTCTGTGGACTGAATGATCCTTTTCCTTCATCAACAATATAATTAGTAGTGTCACCAGTGCCGATAGCATTTCCTTTAGAGTCTTTCCACGTAATATCGGCTGCACTTCCCAGTCCGGCTATTTCACATGATATTGTCTGTGCTACAGCAGTAATTTGGATGTCTTTATTGTGTGGCGTTATAGCTGAGAATTAAAATTAGTTATTTTAGAATTTATAAATATTAATCCATTGTTGGTTACAGCGAAATACGGAAAGTAAATATAATAGCATGAAAGCAATCTAAACGTGAATCTTGGTGGTAGCACCGAATAGTGCCGTAGAATTGTCGAATCTCAATGATGTAGGGCCCTGAGATCCAAACCTAAGGGTTAGGCATGTTACTTGGTCACTAGAAATAAAATATTTTATATTGAGTATATTATTTATCTGAAACATTTTGAAACTTTCGACCTCTTATATATTATATTTGGTTAGATGTTTAAAAATCAAAAATTTTTTCAATAGTTTTTAAATTTTTTGATATGGAGCACCTGCTATTGGATCGAGATTCCTGGTATAACTATATGGAGGTTTAAGGACCCGATATGTATACCTATTAGCTTATTAGTAATAGTTATAACCAATGACCTTCTAAACCGACTGAAGCCAGATATTGAAGCCAGACGCTCCTAAATATGGAGTCGGAAACGTACAATGCACATACAGAAGGAAGAAGGCTTATATGGAATTAAAGGAGACATTTGTGAAGTACATGAGCCGATCAGGTGTAAATACGTAGCCTAGATCTTAGGTAAAAACACCAAAGGATGCAAAGTCTCCTAATCTTTCAACATTTCCACCTTCTCCAAATTCATCACTGGTCGAAGAGGTGTTCAACAACTGCTGGGCTGTAGTAGGTACATCTACAGCAAGAATAAACCTCATGATAACCTAGTCAGTTTAACAATGTATTATTCAATAATTATCTAAATGATCTGAATAGCTTATTTTTAACGAAACACTTTTATTGTTTTTAACTACCAAGTACTCACTGAAAGTATCCAAAGATACAATTGTTGAAATTTCTGTCGCGTCTGCAGGTGTTATCAAACAGGTGTACTTTGAATCCGCGGTGTTCTGTGCACTAGCAACAGTCAGCGTGGTAGTTTGAGAATTTTCGGCAAATGATCCTTTGTTAGAGGTGTAACCGGTCTCAACAGTCGTTACGTCCGTACCATCAGACTTTACCCATCTTACAGCCTGCAATGCTGCTGTTATTTCCGTCACTTTACAAGATATCACTGCCTCCGCTCCACTGAGAACTTCTCTGTTCCCAGGTGTAACCACTGAGAATAGCATAATATTGTTAGAGGAACTTGTCTCAGCAGGGACAAAAGGAAATCGCGGCATGTACGGAATTGCGATTTTTCCCATAATTCGCGGTATCGCGAATTTTGGCCAAAATAATCGCGAAATCCTTTTGTCCCTGCAGCACAGCAATTCAACATATCAGTGTCAACGAGCGGCAATAATTAGTCCCTTTAACAGTTAAATTGTCATTTCTTTGATAGCATGAAAATGAATAAATCTAATAGAATCAATAAATAGAAATCATAATGATGACCATGATAAAAATATGGAAGCACAGAGCAAATTTGTATCATCTTTTAGCAGTAATTTATTTTTAAAAAATCTAAGAATTGTTTTTTCTATATCAACAGTGATCAGAAGTTTGTTTGATGTTAAAAATGAATCAGCTCGGTCCTCATCAAGCGTCTGTCCCAAGAGGGACAGGGATCAAAGAAATTATCAATTATGGGGTATCACAGTAAAATGTAAATATGTTTAAGCTGGAAGACAGACCGCTCAAACGTACATTACATAAATGCGGGATAAACGTCTGAATGGAATTGGAAGAACTCACAATTTAACTCTTGCGCATAAGTGCTTACAAATTTGCTTTCTGTGGAGATATATTAAGCGCCTTTTCATAATAAAGTAATATGCACTAACCTGCACAGTGGACTATCCCAAACAGAAGAAACCATAGCAAGCCCGTCCGGACAAAGACTGTTCCCATTGAAATGCTGCGTGGCTAATTCTTTAGATAAAAAACCTTTCTTTACTGAATAGTAAGTTAAATTTCTTATCTTTACAAATAAATTTGTACAGGGTACGCTCAATACTTAAATACTAATTATAAATAAAATTTCCACATAGGACACCCGTGCGTATCCTATAAAGCTATAATAGGCCCGGCAGGGATTAAGATGAGATTGATTGTCACTTTCTCGACCAGTGTCCAGCCATTGCACGAATAAGAAGGCGATATACTTTCAGGAGTATTACCTCTCCGTCGACGACATCTTTGACAACCAACATATTACCACCATTGTTAACTTCAAAATCGCCCTATAAACGCCAAATTTTTCCCGAGGAACTAATAACCAAACCGAAGTGACCTGGATCCTAGAGTTGATGACGAGACAAAAAAATTGACACCAAATTTTCCCCACAAACAAATCTGTATCTGTTTTTTGAGGCCTCGATCAAAAATCGGTAAATTAAGTTAAGTGCGAAATGCGATTATACTTATCTCTTAAGTTAAACATTTAATCAAAAAGAATATGTAGGTTTTAGGCTTACTCTTGGCGAGTTGAAGAAAAAAGATATGGAAAGTAAGAATTTAATTAACAGCAAGCTAGATAAAACTCGAAAAACTACAAATAGGTCTTAATCAGTTTACATGGTGAAAACTAATTGCATAAAAGTTTATGAAAAAGGAAAGAACGATGACCACGTTGTTCCAATTGTTTTCAAGTCTTGACCGATGAATGAAAATGCAAAGATCACCCAATAACCCGCTTTAGCACTGGCTAGATATTATCTGTACAGTGCGATGCGTTTCCGTGAAGTTGTTTATTCTAGCCTCGGCAGTATCGTGGGAAAAACGTGCAGCCCTGTTACACCTTGAGATTGTTTATATAAGTCTGGTCAGTATGGACGTTTACAGGTGGTCAGTGGTCACGTATCAGATTAGTAATGTATCCCGGAAATTAACCTGATACATAGCGACTGTTGCGGTAGACACGTACAGTAAATGGACACGTTTATAATTTGAGTTTGAGGATGTTGGTAAAAAACAATACTACTTTTTCGACGATAGTGGCTTGATTTTGGTATCTATTAACATGGCATGTTCAGAAGTTCTGAACATTAGCCACGTGACCCATACTCCCATATGCACTGCTCAGAAATACATATTGTTATAATGTTTAAATTGTCACACTCATAAGTTTTAATACTTTCAACACTACTATATAACAAATAATTTTAGGTCCCAATGTCAAAGCGATAGAAGAGACTATGACGTGACCGTTTGTATCCTAAGCAACGCATCTACTTCCTGGGCTACAGTATTGACTTCGCCATTTTCTCCTCCCTCACCGCCATCTTCTCCTCCCTCTTTCCTTCACTATGGATCTGAATTCTGTTACCAATGTTTTAAACTCGTTTTCATTAAAAGAGCTGAAAGCTCTTAAGGCCAGTGTTGAGAATGTCATGAAACTTAAGAGGGATTCTGTTAAATGCGAGGACTTCTTGGAGTTGCATTCAGATTTTGTTCAAAACAAGAGTGTTCAACATGGCACCTTGATGTCTGAACTTGAAACACTTATGGCCAAGCAAACTGCTGTGAAAACTGCCACAAAGTGGCTCACTTCCACTGGAGAAGAATATGTATGGTCTTCCTCAAATGGACACACCACGACTAAGGAGCCAATCGATATTTTAAATTATCCTGGGATATCAGAGCTTATGCATGATATCAACTCCAAGTTTGGCTGCAAGCTAAACTCATGCCTAGCAAGCATGTACAAGTCTGGTTCTTGTGCAACTAGGTACCACAACGACGACGAGGTGTCTCTTGACCAGTCGCAAGGTATTTATGTAGTTTCATTTGGAGCTGAGAGGACCCTCGACATAATTCCAGAAAATGGGGATAAGCGATGTAACAGTAAATGCTATATCACCCCAAAGGACTGTAGTTTGTATATTATGAAACCGGGGTGTCAGGAATATTGTCTTCACAAGGTTCGTGCAGAGAGCTCAGTTAAGGGGACTCGGTATAGCTTATCTTTTCGCTGCCAGATACCGAAGACAGATACAAATGTAGTCAAGGAGCAGACTGCCCGCACTACAATTCCTATGCCGCCCACCACCACCTCAACACCAACCCTTTACTACCGAAATGCTCCAAGAAAACCGAAGAGCAGGAAAACCACTGTCCTGTTTGGTACGTCAATGACAAAATTCGTACGGACAAATAAGTTGGGATTCCGGGGAAGGAAAGTAATCAATGTGTCTCAAAGTGGTGCAAAAATTAGAGACATCACTGAAAACATTCATCATTTTCATAAAACTCATGCAGCTGCAGAAGCTGACGATATTGAAAAAATTATATTGAGTGTTGGTACTAATGACATTAAACATTCTAAGTATGGGGTTCAGTTCCTTAGGAAGTATCTTACTGAATTAATTGACACCACTAAGCAGTTATTTCCCGCTGCAATTATAATTGTCCAATGTTGTCTTCCTATTAAGTGTTTATATTCCTACATAGCAAAGAATGTTCTAGATTTTAACAATCTACTTAAAGACTTATGCCTAAAGAATAATTGCGTGTTCCTAGACTGTTTCTCAAACTTTTTAACTCGAGACTTTAGATCATGTAATGAACTTCTATACCATGATTGGCTTCATCTCAACATGAGAGGAGTAGGTTTACTGTCCACTTGGCTTAAGTTTGTTGTAAACGAACACAGTTTTGTCAGGGTTGTAAATAATCTTCTGGGAATTTAAATCTTTGATCTTTTCTTTCATTTAATATTTTGATTAAGACGTTGCGCCTAAAATTAAAACTCAAACAAATCTCTGATTTAATCTTTTTCTCAATTTTATGCCTCCTATTTCAGGTACATTCGGTCACTGCCCATTTTTCCATATGTTAGACAATGAATCGTTTAGACTTAGAATAGGTCTTTTTGCATGCAAAAGGCCTCGTACACAGTCAAGAAATGCACATATACATATCAACACGTTTATACCTAACAAAATTTACACATTTAATTCTCCATGCACCCCACACATCAACTACAATTATCATAATCATATGTTTCTCTTCTATTCTCTCATCATGACTTACCTTCTCCCAATTCTTCTCTCCACGACTAGGTCCATGAACACCGTATTCCCCCTAGATTCTAATATTCATTCCTCTCTACTCCTTGACAGCCCACGTTATCTTATACCATTTCTTGCTTGCTCCCACATCAAACTTTTCTTTGTAATTATCTCCTCATGGTTTATAAGAAATGTTCTTCTCCCTGGTAAGATGAATAGAGTCAAGTATTCCAGCCGCCTCAGGCGTCTAGTATCTTTATTCATTCTTTGGGTTTTCTCTCTTAACTTTCTTTTGATAACTCTTGTTAATCCTTCTATGCTTAATCCAGGTCCCAACTCCCTATCTGTACTCTACCAAAATGTCCAAGGTCTTATTCCTTTCAGTAACCTAAGCTCCTCCCATCCCCTTCTTGATGGTAATAAGATTTCCGAACTTCAATCCTTTGCTAACATAGAGCAGCCTGACATAATTGCCCTAAATGAGACTTGGCTCAAAAAATCTATTTCTAGCAACGAAATCTTTCCTTCTTCTCAATATGAAATCTTCCGCAATGACCGCACGAGAAAGACTCATCCTCAAGATCCTAATAACCCTAAAAAGTTTAGGGAAAATGGAGGTGGTGTTCTTTTGGCTGTTCGGTCTGATCTCGATGCCACTACAACCCGACTACCAGTTAGCCTAGGTGCAGAAATGCTTGCCGTTAAAATTGCTTTTCCTAACAAAGAGAGTATTGTAATCTGTACTTGTTATAGAGTAGGAACTCTTGGGTTACCTAATCATGATGTCATAGTTAGTTATATTCGCAAGCTAGTTTCCAAAAAGAATCCCCCTAAAATCTATGTTATTGGTGATTTTAATCTCCCCCATACAGACTGGCTATCTTCATCCAGTACCGTACCTATTGAGCAATCCTTCATAGATTCTTTCAGTGATCTTTCTCTCTCCCAGTTGATCACATCACCCACCCATAAAAGTGGTAATACATTAGACATTCTTCTCAGTAATTATGATAACACAATCGATAACTTGAATGTCTGTGATCCTCATTCCGTGTGCAAATCTGATCATTTTCCTGTCACTTTTTCAATTAAAAGCTCCTTTTCCCGCAAGAAAACTCCTAAACGTAAAATCTATAATTATAAGAAAGCAAACTGGGACATGATTAATCGTGAATTATGCTCGATTAATTGGCAAGTCCTAGAATGCCTAGATCCTGATTCGTCTTGGAAGTTAGTTAAAGACTGCATTATGAATTTAGTTGATATACATATTCCTAAAGTAACTATTAAATCAGAGTTTCAACCCCCGTGGTTCGATAGTGAACTTTTTTCTTCATGCCGTAAAAAGGATAGACTCAGAGCTAAATTTAAAATTTCTGGTTCTATTTCTGATGAGTTAAAGTTTGTTACTAGCCGTAAAGATTTTAAGAGGCTTTCATCAGCCAAAATAAGAGACAATCTTTTCAATAGTGATGATCCAGCGCTAATAACTAAGAAGTTTTGGTCACATGTTAAGTATAAATCTAACTCCTGCCGTATTCCTAATTGTGTTAGTTATTCTGGACAGCTTCGGTTCAAACCCAAAGCTCAAGCTGAACTTTTCAATTCTTTCTTTTATAACCAGTTTTCGGATCCTTCACTTTATGACACTGATATCTCCTATGTCAATGATGTTGATTTTGATATTGACTTCGATCATCGGGATGTTCGTAAGCTTCTTTCAAATATTAATTCAAATAAAGCCCAGGGACCAGATGGCATACACGGTAAAATTCTCAAAAATTGTTCCGTATGTTTAGCTTACCCTCTAACATGCATTTTTCGTGGATCTTACAACAGCGGCTACATTCCACAAGAATGGAAACTTGCAAATGTTGTCCCAATATTTAAGAAAGGTAAGAAAAGTGAGGTTGAAAACTATAGACCAATATCCCTTACTTGTTTAGTCATGAAAGTTTTTGAGCGCATTGTTAAACGTAAACTGCTTTCTTTGACAAGTACCCTTCTTGATCCCAGGCAGCATGGTTTTCTAGAGCACAAGTCATGCACAACCAATATGGTTGACTTTTGTGATAGCCTGGCATTGTCTCTTAACGAAAACATTATCAATCATGTTGTGTATTTTGATTTTGCTAAGGCATTTGATTCTGTAAATCATGATATCCTTCTTCATAAGCTAAAGACCTTATATAACATTGATGGTACACTTCTCAAATTTCTTACCAATTACCTTCAAGGCCGTTACCAAAGAGTGGTTATTGGTAATGAGATGTCATCTACCCTCTCAGTTAATTCTGGTGTCCCCCAGGGCTCTATTCTTGGTCCCTTACTTTTTGTATTGTTTATCAATGATATTCCTCTTGGCCTTTCGGATAATACTGATATTGTTTTGTATGCCGATGATACAAAAATCTGGCGTAAAATACATTCATCTTCTGATAATACTAATTTACAAATGGATATAGACTATCTCTCTGACTGGGCACTAAGAAACAAAATGCGATTCCATCCAGCAAAATGTAAAGTGCTTATTGTTTCAGGAAAACCATCTTTATCTCCTCCATTCGCATACAATCTTGATGGCTCTCCTCTTGTGTATGTAGAGTTAGAAAAAGATCTTGGAGTCGATGTTACTCCTAAGCTAAGTTGGAATAGTCAGTGCGACAGAATTTATACTAAGGCCTGCCAACAACTTGGTATGGTCAGAAGAGATGGCCATATTGTCATTGATCAGAAACGTCGCCGGGCGCTTTACCTCTCCCTGGTTCGTAGCCAATTCGAAAATTGTTCCATAATCTGGCGCCCTTGTAATAAATCACTTAGTGATAAATTAGAAAGTCTCCAAAAGAGAGCTATTAAATGGATTCTGTCTGAAGAGGGCCGCAGTTATCCACCTGAGCAATATGTCAAAAAGTGCAAGCTTGTCGACATTCTCCCTTTGTCTCAAAAGTTTGACTTGAATGATCTTATTTTTTTCCACAAAGTTCTTAACAATTTAATTCCTGTATCACTGCCTCACTATCTCTCTTTATATCAGGGCACTTCTCGACTAAGACGTTGCCACCTCGACAGTCTGTCTATTGTGTCATCAATTTTACCTAAGTTAAGTCAGAATTCACACACCACATGTACCTCAAATAGCCCACTGGCAAAATC